ATTGCACACAAAACCGCAGTGTTCTCAGAATCAGGCCTGATCTCTGTTAGCACTTGCCGGTAAATTTTGATGACTCTCATATGCAGCAGAGTGCCAGTACTAGTGCCGCTCTAAATTTTGGTGAACTGGCGAGTACCAGCAGTCTAGTACATCCTGGTCTTTCACATACCTCCTTGAGTTTTGGAGCTGTTTTTCACGGAATATCTGTATGCGTTGATTGTGGATCAAAGCAGTTTATATGCACAACAATTTATCGCCGCCAACCCAAATTCAAACTTTTCCAGACCATTCGCATGGAAACTCATTACGGTTTTCAAATTTACATTTTTTTTGGGCCTAACTCTCAACATGGGCATTACTAAAAGAAATGAATTGCGGTTGTATTGGTCCGCAGACCCGATTCATCATATGCCGTGTTCTCTGCTGCCATGGCCAGGCATAGATATGAGAGTATAATGTGTTTTATGCATTTCAGCGACAATACACTCTGTCATCCTCGGGGTAACCCTGAATTTGACCGGCTCCACAAAATTCAGCCCCCTCGCAAATCACCTTAACCTAAAATTTGCAGATGTCTATACTCCCCAGCAAAACATCTGCGTTGATGAGTCCCTTATTAATTTTTCTGGTCCGCCTTGCATTCAAACAATTTCTCCCCCTGCAAGCATGCCAGATATGGGGTCAAGATGTAGAAGACCTGTGAGAGGACAACAGGCTATACTTATAAGTTTCGGATTTACGAGGGAAAAGATAGTCACATGGAGCCCCCCGGATGCCCAGACTACATGGGGAGCAGTGGCAAGATAGTTTGGGACTTGGTGTCATCATTTCTCCATATGGGGTACCACTTATACGTGGACAGTTTTTATTCAAGCGTGCCACTATTTAGACATTTATTCAATCTTGGAACTGGCACTTGTGGCAAAGTGTGACCTAATTTTTGCCCACTATTAGAAGTGGGTGGATGCAGGGCGGTATATTCTAATGGTGGGCATACCACACACTTTTTATGGCAGAGATTTCTTCTCATTTTTTCATTCAGTCCACTGGCTGCATACCAAAAAAAAAAAAAAAAACAAAAACATAGCATATATAACCAACAAGGACCAGCGATGTACTGGTACATCACTGGATTTGAATGGTTATACCAGGATGATGCCTACAGCTGCAGGCATCATCCTGGTGTCGTTTTTTTTTTTTTTCAGCCGGTGATCGGCTTTCATGTAAAAGCAATCCTAGTGGCTAATTAGCTGCAAGATTGCTTTTACAATCAGTGGGAGATGATGTACCCCCTCTGCCTTCCACGGCCTTCTCGGGCAGTCCCGTGCCATCAGGGGAACCTGAGAATGCAGCCGGTGTTTCTGCCAGCTGACCATAGAGCTGATTGGAGACCAGAATGGTGCCAATCATCTCTATAGTCTAAGAATTCGGAAGCTACAAGCATTTCATCACTTCATTTTCGCAGGATATAAACCGCGCCATTTGTAAATTGGGAAAGCATCTGATGACACCGATTTTTGGTTTGATTAGATAATGTAAGGGCAGAGGAGATATCTAGAGTCTGATAGACCCCAGATTTCTCAAAAAAGAATATATGACAATGCCCATTGAAGTTATAGGGGTTATTTGCATTCCCTGTTATAGCATTAAAAGTGATTAAAAAAAAATGATGGGTACAATGTAAAAATAATTAAAAAAAAAAAAAATCAAAAACTAAAAAAAAAAAAAAAAAAAAATTGCCCCTCCCAATGCGCGCACACCTGTGTGCACAAGCCTTGACCCTGTGCCGTTATGTAAACAGCGGTTGCCCCATGCATGTGAGGTATTGCCGTGAACGTCAGATCAAGTGCAGTAATTCTAACACTAGACCTCCTCTGTAAATCTAAAATGGTGGCTTTCAAAGGCTTTTAAAGCGCTGCCTATGGATATTAAAAATGTTTGCAGTTTGTCGCCATTGAACGGGGCATGCGCAGTTTTAAAGCATTTCATGTTTGGTATCTATTTACTCTGCGTACCATTATCTTTTATATTTTACCAAACAATTGGCCAATATATTGTGTTTTTTGTGTGCATTAAAAGTAAAAAAAAAAAGTGTTTTTTTTTTTTTTTTTTTTTTTTTTAAATTGCTTTTGAAAAATCGCTGCGCGAGTACTATGTGCCATAAAAAATTGTAGTACCCACCATTTTATTCACTAGGGTGTCTGCTTTAAAAAAAATATATAATGTTTGGAGGTTTAAATTAATTTCCTAGCAAAAAATACTAATTTTTTTTCATGTGAACAAAAAGGCTTGGTCTTCAGGTGGTTAGAAGAGTGAATGATGTGTGGCATAAACTTCTAATGCTGGGCATAAACCGCCCCCACCCCCCAAAATGACCCCTTTTTGGAAAGTAGTCACTCCAAACTATTTGCTGAGAGGAATGTTGAATCAATAGAAGAATTTATTTTTTTACCACAAGTTTTTGGAAAATGACAAAAATAAATATATTTTTTTTTTTTTTTACACAAAATTGTCACTTAAATGATTTACTGCTCACACATGCCATGGTTATATGTGGAATTACTCCCCAAAATACATTTTGCTACTTCTCCCGTGTATGGGGGTACCACATGTGAAAGACGTTTTGGCAGTCTAGCCAAGTACAGGACCCCAAAATCCAATAAGCACCTTCAGGCTTTTAAAGGGCTTTATTTCCTCATTACACTTCCAGAGTACCTATCACAGTTTCGGAGGCCATGAAATGCCAGGATAGCACCTAACCCCCCCCCCCCAAATTACCCCTTATTGGAAAGTAGACGCCCCAAGGAATTTGATAAAAAGCACGGTAAGTATTTTGCAGATCTCATTTGTTGCCACAAGTTTTTTGGAAAATGAAGAAAAAAAACAAAAACATTTTTTTATATTTCAAAACCTTGTGAGAAAAAATGAGATCTTCAAAATACTCACCATGCCTCTTTTTAAATTCCTTGGGGTGTCTAATTTCCAGAAAGGGGTCATTTGGGGGGGGGGTTCGGGGCTATCCTGCCATGTCAGGGCCTTCAAAACTGTGATAGGTAGTGAGGAAGTGTAATGAGGAAGTTACGCACCTTCAGGCATTGGTTTCAGGCAGTGGTCATTGGATTTCAGGCTCCTGTATGTGGCTAGACTCCCAAAAAGTCTCACACGTGGTATCCCCATACTCAGTAGAAGTAGCAGAATGTATTTTGGGGTGTAATTCCACATATACCCATGGCTTGTGCGAGAAATAAATCATTTAAATGACAACTTCGTGTAAAAAAAAAACAAAAAAAAAAAAAACAAAAAAAAAAAAATTTTTTTTTTTTGTAATTTTCCAGAAACTTGTGGAAAAAAATAAATCTTCCATGGACTCAATATGCCTCTCAGCAGATAGCTTAGGGTGTCTAATTTCCGAAAAGGGGTCATTTGAGGGTGTTTGTACTATTCTGGTATTTTAGCACCTCAAGAAATGTGATGGGCAGTAAGAAAGTAAAAGCTATGTAAATTCCATTATCTATACCATAGTTTGTAGACGCTATAACGTTCACAAAAAGCAATCAATATACACTTATTGGGATTTTTTTTTAACCAAAAACATGTAGCAGAATACATTTTGGCCTAAATTTATGACAAAATTTTAGTTTTTTTAGATATTTTTTATGACCAAAATGAGAAAATATTGTTTTTTTTCACCCAAAAAAATTTTTTTTCTTCAAAATTTTTCTGGTTATAGCGTCAAACATAAAAAGTGCACAGGTGATCAAATACCACCAAAAGAATGATCTATTTGTGTTAAAAAAAAGGACATAAATTTCATTTATGTACCGTATTGCATGACCGCGCAATTGTCCGTTAAACTAGCGCAGCGCTGTATAGCAAAAAAATTTCGTAAATTGCAGTATCTATACCATAGTTTGTAGACGGTATAACTTTCACACAAAGCAATCAATATACACTTATTGGGATTTTTTTTTACCAAAAACATGTAGCAGAATACATTTTGGCCTAAATTTATAACTAACTTTGAGTTTACTATATATTTTTTATAGCTGAAAGCAAAAAATATTGTTTTTCTTCAAAATATTTGGTCTTTTTTTGTTTATAGCATGAAAAATAAAAAGCCCACAGGTGATCAAATACCACCGAAAGAAAGCTCTATTTGTGTGAAAAAAAGGCCGTAAATTTTGTTTGGGTGCAGCATTGCATGACCGCGCAATTATCAGTTGAATTAGTGCAGTGACGAGTAGCAAAAAGAGGCCTGGTCATTAAGGGGGGTAAATCCTCAGGAGCTCAAGTGGTTAAAAAAAAAAAATAGTTCAATCACCATCATTATCGCTTAAAAAACATGGTTTTTAAAAAAGATATTAGTAATAGCATTTGTTAATGTTTTTTGTGTTGTGATATTTTTTTCTTTTTGCTATTTTTTTTTGTAGGAAACTGGGTGGAAAAGTGCAATTTGCCCAGACTATTGTCCTAATATGTATGAAGATATGCAGAGTCTTGCCAACATACTCCAATCTGACATCGGGCAAGATATACGTGTCCACAATAGCACTTTCCTATGGTTCATTCCTTATGTTCAATCGGTCATGGACCTTAAAGACTTAGGGGTTGCTTACATTATGGAAGTGATTCATCACCTGTCTTCAGAAATAAAGGTCATCTTTACTCAGTCAAGTAACCAATGTGACAAAGTGACCGAATTCTTTGTCAGAGTCTTAGTTGCTGTCATTGAACTGCATCGAAGTAAAAAGTGCCTTCACTTCCTCTGGATCAGCTCACACAAATGGGTTGAAGCCATTGTCAAGTGTGCCCTCCTTCCAGTCAAAAGCCAAAGAGTTACATCAACCTCGGCATTACCTTCTTCCCCTACTTCTCAGACTCCTTCCTCTATGCAATTTGCTTGCATGCAATTAATTAGGAGCCTTTTACGGGAAGGTTTTCAGTTGGGACAGCAAGCAGTTTGCAAACAATATTTAGACAAATTCAACCTGATTATCAGAGGAAATGTATTCAGAAACTCAGATCTTAGTAAGTCTGAGGTTCAGGGATTGCAAACCTGTCTCACTCAAATCATTAAAAGTATTAAAGATAAGGTATGCAGCATTCCTAGTTCTTCTGCTGATCAAAGCTCAGCAAGCCTGATCCAGGCTGTACCCTTTATTAAGACAGAAAGAATGGATGAGGAATGTTATGAATCCAGCATTAATTCTCCACATAGTTTGCTTGATGTTCCCCTCCATCCCTTAGAATGTAGGGAACAATTAAAAATGATTATAAAAAAAGAAGAACCTGACGGTAATGTACACCTAAAGACACAGATTAAAAAGGAAAAATTAGATGATGCAAGTACTTTCATTTCTGCCCAGGAGGTACCAAAAAGACTGCATGAAGGATGGCAATTTAAATTATCTAAAGTAATTGAAAAAGCGACAAGTTTGAAGCAAAACACAGTAGATGTAGTGCCTGAAAGTAAAATAAGCAGCAGTGAAGTTAACTCCAACCCAGTACAAAAGCCATATGAAAAAGCAAAAAGTTTACCATAATGAAAGCAAGTCAGATGATTTAAGTGACAGTGATGAAAACATATCTCGGAAAGAACGTTTCAAAAAATGTGTGGACAAAAGTCAACAGACCACTCATGGCAGTCTTCCTGTAAGTGAGCATTTTCAAAGACTGTCCTTAGGCAACAACCCAGCAATTCGACCCATAAAGAAAGAATTTCAAGGGGTCGCTGAGGTCAGCTCTTCCAGCTTTGTTGAAAGCAATGCTGACACTGTAGTGGACAATGAAATGGATGATGATGCTCTCCCCTTGGCTGTGGTTAAGAAAAAGCTTCTAACGAAAAATTCCAAAAAGTCAGCTCTTATAAACATTCAAATGAACCACAATTGCAATAACACAGCAGAGGTGACCCAGAAAAAAGATTCAAATTTTTCTGCTGATTCAAATCGGCAGGTATCTGATGTACCTGAGTATTCTTCAATAAAGAGGAAAGTTAAAGGGGCAACCAGAGCTATTGGGGATGATGATATTTCCGTCAAAACAGAAATTGATAGTATCATAACAATCTCAGATGACACTGACCAAGAAGAAGAAGAAGAAGAATCTTTTTGCAAATCTGGTCAAGATACTTCAGAAAAACTGATGCATAGACCAGAACAAGTTAAGTCTGAGCCTGGCAATCCAAGTTTTGAGGAGTATGGATCACAATGTTTCGAATTTGAAACTGAGGATGATATATATTCTGTGTGGACTGACTCACAGTTGGAGGAGAAGCCTAATAATGTCCAAGAAAATAAATCCTCAAGGCCAGAGACCAGTAGTATTGAGGACTTGGACCAGAACAATGATTTCAATCAGTGGGGGTATGACACGGACTACGTTTCTGATGAAATGATAGCAAATGCAGCAGAAAATGCAGAACAGCAATTTAAACTATCAACCTCTGCTGCAAACACTCAGTCTAGAAAGGAGCACGGTGTTAATAAAGCACATGAAGCTGTGAATTCCAGCATGTTTTATGGAAAACGATCCCATGAGTCTGTCACTGAAAGAGGTCCTAAAGGTAAACGGCCCAAATTGGCTAAAGAACCATTTTCTTTCAATGCCAAGAGTAGAAACACAGAAGCTCCAACAACACAAAGAAAACTGCAAACTGCCAAAGCAAACAAAGCTGAAGATCTTTTAAAGGCTCAGGGACATGTCAGGAAGAATGGAAGCCCAAGTAAAGGTTCCCTTGCTGTGGTCCCACCAAAGAAACTACACAAGTGTCCTGAACCAACCTCCACTGTCGAAAAGCTAAGGCTAAAAAAGCCTCCCCGCAGAGCTTTTGACCTGTCCCAAAGATCCCTTGATAGCTTGGCCGAATTACGAAATTATGGCAAATCTGCAGGATTTGTTGAGACTAAAAAACCTAAATCAAAACTTATTTCACCACAGTCAATTTTAACAAAAGGTAATAAGTTGTTAGCTTGCCAGGATCAACAGTTTTATCGACAGTCCAGGCCTAAGGATACAGAGAAAAGGAGATTGAGTAGTGGTTCTGAAAACAGTGGCAAAAATGCAGGGATGCCAACAAAGCAAAGTGGACACAAGCCAGGGGATCAGACCTCTCTTCCAGATCAACTGAACAGAGCAGAGAATCTAGAGAGGCCAAAACAGGAAGAACCTCAGGGATGTGGGCTTATGGATGCAAAAAAAAATTACATTAGCATTTCTGAAACAACTAAAGATACTGAAACTAATGACCATCCTGTTGCTGACTTGGTGCCGCAGTTGAATTCTCAAGAGAATGACCATGCTCAGTCTACCATGCCAACTACTCCTTATGATCACAGAGATAATGATGATGATGATGATGAAAATGACTTGTTTTTAACACAGGCAGATCCAATTGATATGGATTTGTGTTCGCAGTTAGAGACTGACATAAGTGTTGGCATACCTCAAGAAACGTGTCTGTCCAATGTTGATCATTGTCCATCAGTTCCTCATCTGACAGATGTACCAAAATGCAGTTTTAAGGACTGCACAGAGCTTGTCACAGTTTCTGGTGATAAGTGTCAGATACAGTCTGCTCCTGAGAAAAAAGAGGATCACATGTTTGCCCGACCTGGTTTGCCCCCTTCTCTTCAAAAACCACACAGACCTTCCACTGCTAAAGTTTATAGTTCTGGGACAACCTCTCGAACTGCCAGTCTCACAAAAAGATCTCGAAAGCCTCCCAAAGCACCTGCCTACTGCAAAGGCAAAAACTCCGTCATCAAAACCATCTGTGCCTAGAACAACTATGCAACCTTCTGTCCAAAACAAAGCTCCAGTGTCTCAGAGTACAAGCAATGTTCTGAAACCTCTGATCAATCAAAACAACATCCCCATACAGTGCAGTTCTAATTCTATTCAAAGAACTGGAATGAATCCTCTTGCTTCTTTCCGAACACCACATAGGGACCAGACCTGGTTGCTGCGAGAAGTTCTGAACTGGAAATTTGATATGTTTGACAACATTGCACAGTTTGGGCCCCCCAACAAACTTTGTCAGTTGCCATTGTTAAAAGTACCACTCAGATTTTCAGATTATGAGGAGTACTTCACCGTCTTTTGCCCATTGATGCTCCTGAACACTTTTGAATCGGTAAGGCTTTTTTATTTTACTTTTTTATTTCAATGAAGGGAATTTCTTTATTTCTTCAGGGCACATTGTAAAATAAGTCAGATAAAACCCCTCCCTTTCCTATGAGCTCCAGTGTTTGTGCTAGTGTCCTAAGCCAGCCATAGGTTGGCTAAATCTCAGCTGGTTCAGCAGGGACCAGCTGAGTATCGATCCATCTATAGACAGGCTTGTTGTACTGAAGTAGATCCATTGATTGACTTCAGTACAACCAATCTGTTTGATTTTTTTTTTTTTTGTGTGCGATTACTGCTGACAACTATAGCCACTGGCAGTAATTGTGTTCTGATGGCAGGAAAGGCTCCCTGCTGGCAGAACACAATAGCTCTGCAGAAGGCATTCCCCATCAACATGTAATGTGGGGAAACCAGTCAACTGTAAACAGAAGTCCAAACTATGTAATGAATGAAATCTGAGTACAGAGTTTTTCTGGCATGAAAACCTATAGGTGGGACTGCACTTGAAAGTGCCCTCATGTTTTTAAGGTTTTCCATTCCAAACAAAGGCAGCTCCCTAGAATCCAGTGGGCCCTTGTAGATGATCTATATATTGGTAGTTGCTTTATTCAGCCTCTAGGGCCAAAGAAAGGTTGACTTGTGTAAGTTCCAAGTTGATCCAGCCTCAAGCTGGCCATTCACATATAGATTATTTTTATTCACCCTGTGGGCTGAATAAAATCTACAGATGCTTCCATCCACACTATACAGTGGGGTTGGATGACTCTCCCTGCAGCTATTGTATTTTGACAGCCTTTATTCCTGACAGCTGAGCAGAACAGCCGGGAAGAAAATGTGAGTATGTGGGGCTGGGGGAGGGGAGAATAGACAGGTTTGCTTGGTTGTACCAGTCTCCAGTGGAATATTGGGTACTGCAAAATTATGTTTCTGGATCATCAGATCCCATGATAGCACAGGGGTTGAAAATTTAATACACTGCATTTCTGGTAAGCTGCAATGAGGTATAAAGATATTTTTGTCACTTTTTCCTACAGCTGGCACAGGAATGGGCAGTAAAACAACCTTCACTCACTTCCCATTTGTGTAAGCTTCACTTGCAAAATTTCTGCTCGGAAAAAAACCAGATGTACAGAGGAGAATTCCAAGGTGAGATAATTTTAAGATATTGCATTTGCTTAATTTTCACTTTGTTCAAGAACAATGCTACCCTGATCAAGTTTGAAAATCTTTACATCTCCAGATGCCTGCTGTCAAATAAGCAGATGTGTGAGACTTGTGTTTTAACTACATGCCGCCCAGCCACTGTACATATACGGCGGCAGGGCGGCACTTGCAGGCAAAACCACGTTTTTAAACGTGTGTTTTGTAAACAAATAGGGGGCGCGCGCGCGAGGCACGCCGCCGCCCCCCCCCCCCCCCCCCCCCCCCCCCTATTTGTCCCGCCGATCACCACCGCAGATGTTAGTCGCCGGGTCACAGCCGCTCCTTAGCGGCTATCTCCCGGCAATCGGCGGCAAATAGTGACAGAGAGCACAGCTGCAATAGCTGTGCTGTCTGTCACTTCCCTGTCAGCTCGAGGATGAGCTGATCGAGAAAGAAGAGTTTCTCTTTCTCGATCAGCCTTGTCCCGTGCAGTACCCCCCCCCCCCCTAGTAAAACACTCCCCTCACTCCTATAACCCTTCCCTGCAAAATAGTTAACCCCTTCCTCCCCATTGCCATTAGTACAGTGTCACTGTTTTGTTGTTTTTTTTTTTTGCACTGATCACTGTATTAGTGTTTTTGGGGATGTCAGTGACCCCAAGTCAGTACCACCCAATGTCAGAATGTCCGCCGCAGTCCCGCCATAAGTCGCTGGTCGCTGCCATAAGTCCCTGATCGCCACCATAATTCGCTGATCGCCACCATTATTAGTATAAAAAAAACCTATAAATCCCAGTATCTTTCCCGCCATTTGTAAACGCTATAACTTTCGCGTAAACCAATTTACGCGTATTGGGTTTTTTTTTTTTTTTAGCAAAGACATGTCGTAGAATGCATTTTGGCAGAAATATGACTAAATTTTATTTTTGCATTTTTTTTTTTTTTTACTGGACATGTTTTATAGCAAAAAGTCCAAAATATTGTTTTTTTTTTCCTCAAAATTGTCAGCCTTTTTTTTATAGCGCAAAAATTAAAAACCGCACAGACAATCAAATACCACCAAAAGAAAGCTCAATTTGTGGGGAAAAAAAGGATGTAAATTTCATTTATGTACCATATTGCATGACCACGCAGTTGTCCGTTAAACTAGCGCAGCGCTCTATAGCAGAAAAATGGCGTAAATTGCAGTATTTATACCATAGTTGGTAGACGCTATAACTTCCACACAAAGCAATCAATATGCACTTATTGGGATTTTGTTTTACCAAAAACATGGAGCAGAATACATTTTGGCCTAAATTTATAACCAACTTTGAGTTTACTATATATTTTTTATAGCTGAAAGTAAAAAATATTGTTTTTCTTCAAAATTTTTGGCTCTTTTTGTTTATAGCGTGAAAAATAAAAAGCGCACAGGTGATCAAATTACACTGAAAGCTCTATTTGTGTGAAAAAAAAGGACTTAAATTTAGTTTGGGTGCAGCATTGCATGACCGCGCAATTATCAGTTGAATTAGTGCAGCGCCGAGTAGCAAAAAGAGGCCTGGTCATTAAGGGGGGGTAAATCCTCAGGAGCTCAAGTGGTTAATGTGTCTTTAAATAGTTCATTTGTCAAAACAGAGTTGGTGTGAGCCCTGCTTAGCCATTCACAGGAAGCTTTGTATTCTATGAATGAAAACAAAGCTTCCTCTGATTGGCTGAGGAGGTGATCATTACACTGATCGATGCGGATGAAGAAATCTCCCTGCCAAAAACAATGTTTAAAAATATATGCTGAAGCATATGAGCGATCCACCCCCTGACCACCCAAGGCCCCCTGGCTTGGCCATATATGTTCTTTTTTCAATTGCGGATGAAAAATCTCATCCAACAGCGCTGCACACACATATTCTGAGAGCAAGACCCTGTTGCTGTCAGAATAAACACAGATCGGTGCTGCATTCCTGCAAAGAAAACAGCAATGGTGAATAATAAAACAGTATTTCAATAAAACAACTATTTGTTTTTTTTTTATTTTTGTTTTTTTTTTAATTTATTTGTATATTTTTTTTCACTTTTTTAAAAAAAAAAAAAAAAAACAAAAACAAAAAAAACCTGTAACATTCAGATATTAGGGTCTCCTAAAATGCGATATCCACTTTCCTGACTACCTAACATTGTTCGAAACCCTGTGTATATTTGTGCCCTAGACTGTGCCGTGCTGTACCCTAGGCTAATACTCCACTAGCGTACGGTAGTGACGGAAGCAGTCCTTGAGGCAGAGACCAGGTTGAACAGGACAGGAGGGACAAAAAAAGCAAGTGTCACGCCTAATTCAATGTCTGCTACAGACAAAACTTCTTTTTGGGTGACTTTTGGGTTGGGGTACCAGGAATGGCATCGGGAAAATGCCTTTCATGCAGCCCGGTCACTTTATCTGCGTTGGTGGTTTGGGCCACAGCACCTTCTGGATACAAAAGAGCCATGATGATCTCTTTCTGGAATTTTAGGAAGAATCCACTTCTTCCAATTGCTTTGTAAAGCACAAAAGCATTGCGCAGAGCCAATTGAAAATAAATAGACCCTTTTTGTACCAGTGTCTGGCTTTATGGGAAACAAAATACGGATTCATCATCTGGTTGTTGAAGTCCACCCCTCCCATGTTAAGGTTATAGTTGTGGACACAGAGGGGCTTCTCAACAACACCAGCGGCTGTAGAAATTTGGATGGTCATGTCTGTGTGAATGGGACTCCACGTGACTGTTTTCCCTTGTAAATCCAAAAATTACATGTATAGCCTGTTGCCCTCTCACAGATCTTCTACAATTTGACCCCATATCTGGCACGCTTGCTGTGGAGAAATTGTTTGAATGCATGGTGAAAAAAATTAATTAGGGACTCAACACAGATGTTTTCCAGGGGTATACACACATCTGCAAATTTCTTGTTATGGCGATTCACAAGGGGCTGAATTTTCTGGGCTAGTCATATTCAGGGTCACCCCGAGGACAACAGTGTATTGTTATTAAAATAGCCATGGTAGCAGAGAACATGGGCATATGATGAATTGGATCTGTGGACCAAGACGACCACAATTAATTATTTATTTTTTTTTTTTTTGTAGTAATGCCCATGTTGAGGATTAGTCTCAAAAACTTTAAATTTGGAAACTGTAATAGGTTTCCATGCAAATGGTCTGGCAAGGTTTGAATTTGGGTTGGCAGCGATAAATTTTTGTGTGTATCAATTGCTTTGATCCACAACCAATCCATATAGATCTTCCCTGAAAAACGGCTCCAAAAATTAAGGGGAGTAGGTGAATTTGCTGTTTCCACCTGAATTCCGGGTTGGGCAGTGAATGGGGGAAGTACAGGTGCTGCAGAATTTTTGGGTTGCCAATCCAGGATTTGCAAGCACATCCTGAAGGACACTGGGCTCCACAGGCCTGTGTTAGAATTCTTTGGTGGCTGTGGGACACTACTTGTACTTACCACTGCACCAGCTTGTACTGCACTTTTGGGACACGCCACATCATCAAGTGATACTGCAGTACTGGTATGAAAAAGACCAGGATGTACTAGTCGCTGGTGCTTGCCAGTTCACCAAAAGGTGGAGTGGCACTAGTACTGGTACTCTGCTGCATATGAGAATCATCATGCAATAGTACCACCTCAGCAAACTGGGAACGGGGTCTGGTACACCTGACCTCATCGGCTGAACTATGTGTCAGGGTGCTGCTGCTGTCTACAGGTTCGTATTCTGAGGTGGTTTCTGTCAGTGAGGCTTCCCCTTCACTCTCATCTGACATGCTCATAATCCTGTAAGCTTCTTCACTAGTGTACCTTTCGTTGGACATTTTGGACACTAAATTTATAGGTACCTAGTGTGACTCACGGGAAAAAGAGCACTTGGCTGTTAGGGACTGCTTGAACCGCTACACAACAATTTTCCTGCTAGTGCTAGCAGAGCTCAGGCCTGATCTTGCTAAACCCTGCAGTTTTGTATGCAATGTATCAAGTGACAGTGATCTACTGACACTGCATTTGCTGGGGAAAAAATGGGGGGTGGGGGTTAAGCGTAGGGACAAATTTCAGATGCTGGGGCTAATCCTGCTAACACTGTTTTTGGGGTCATTATACTATTGTGGACACTGATGTAGTGCTGATCTGATCAAAGATATTGATCTGTTCAGACACTATACTAGCACTTTTTTTTTATAGAGTGATTCTTAAAGTATGTTAATCATTAAACCGCGCCAATTGATGCTTTTAAATATTCAATATTATAGCCAATCAGCTGCCACTTTAAATACTATGTAAAACTTATTCCAAAAAATACCACTCCTAATATTGTTGATAATTAGCGGTACATTATATATATATGTGTCACATTAATTCCTTTTGATGGTCTCGATGTGCAAACTCATTTACACAGATATTAAGTGACATAAATTATATGTGACATAAAAATATGTGACAAAAAATATACAAATTTTATATGATATAATAGTGCCCACAAAACACCGTAAATATAAGTCCAGTGTAATTAATGCCAAAAAAAGTAAAAAAAAAAATCTTCCACAATGTGAATCCCCTGTGACTCCCAGTGCAGAAATAAACCACGTGCTGTGCCTTTCATACACCCCCTCTTAGGTGTGCACTCACCAGAACATAGCCTTTTAATGAGCCTTATTGCATAAATTCCAGAAATCGGGATCATCAGAACACAGCCTTTTTTCCACTTTATACAGACTCCAAATTGTTAAGACCGGGAGGTTCCTCCAATAATCACCCATGATAAGAATGGTAACCAGGATCATAATATATATTCCTCTCCATAGTTACATAGAAAGAGAAATTCACTCCAATCGTGTATTACCAAGGTAAACAACTTTAATAAGCCACAATAGTGCACTTACAACATTCCAAAAATAGTTAAGCCTTATTTAAAATAGCCTTTCAGTGAGACAGATATCGCAGATGCTCTCACCACCTCTGGATCTGCCGGACAGAACGCCGTCTCGTC